CTATATCTATATCTCTCTCTATATATGTGTGTGTGTATACATGCGTACATGTGCATACATGCCCGAAACCCTAAACCCCAAAACCCTACCCCTAAACCTCGGAGAGGGTTAGGCTGAGGTGCTCGGGGGCAAAGGCCCCTACAGCTCCTAAACAGAGGCTCCAAATTTCAAGCCGAACTCCAAGTCACTCAACCCCTAAACAGACCTAGACCCTCGACCTAGCGCCCTAAACTCTCCCAAGCCATAGCGCCCTAGACCCCGAAACCCATGAACCCTAAAGCCGTAAACCCTAAACTCTCAGCCCAGGAAAACGGTCAAGCGAACTTGAAGCGCCTCGGAGATTGCTCCGCGACATCGACTTCCAGCACTTCCTCCTCAGGCACTGTAGGGCTCATTTATAGGGCTCCTTGGCAGGCTCGCTCCCTCCCCTTCACCCCTTTCGAAAATAAGACAGTGAAACTGTGATCCCTTTGTGTGTAGGGCTTTGTGGGTCTGGGTCTGGGTTGCTTTGGGGCGAGTGTTACATGGCGGAAAGTCGGGTTTTGAGGATCCCATGCCGAGTGTTATACAGGCGTCTAGAAAATTGGCAATGATACATTCTTGTATTACAGCATGTATGCTTCCCATGTAACTTAAAATTTGTCTAGAATAGCTTTCCGGCCTATAAAAGTCGATACATTCCTCAGACTGCACAAATGAAAGTCGCATTGTTAGAGTGCTATACCTTCGTAGGTCCCTGGTGCTTCGGCTTTTTTTTTCTGGGGACTCTGCCTGGCGCAGGGTGACGAAGGTCCTTTTTCTGCAGGTCGCACCCGAAAGGTCCTGAAGACTTCAACCGTAGGGTTTTGGGTTTAGGATTTAGGGTTTAGGGTTTAGGGTTGAGATATTTACGTAACTGGAATGTATACGGACAATTACAGCACGGGTTGAGGCAACATCAGAGAATTGTGGGACGATAACAGAACATCACTTTTGATTCTTCCCGACACGGCAGTGTTCTGAATTGGTGGTTCGTCGGATTCAGTGTCCCAGCTTGTTAGGGTCAGCAAGGCTGCCCTGGTCTAGGTTGGATATGTGTATAGGGTTTAGGGTTTAGGGGTTTAGGGTTTAGGGGTTTAGGGTTTAGGGTTTAGGGTTTAGGTATACTTTGAAGAGCACTGTGCTCCCTGCTCCTTCCGGCGCATCAACCACAAACCCTTCAAACCTCGGAAGGCAGTCCATCCAATACTGCAACCACCTCCGCCGCAGCAGACGTATCCGACACTGCGACCACCTCCACTGCACCAGATGTGTCTTGAGCTGCGCTTGGTTGGACCTACAGTGCCTGAGGGTGAACATGCTAGGTTCCTTGCAGCTTCGTTTGGGCCTTGCATACATGTATCTATTTTTTTGTTTTATGAGGGCTTGATGGTGCGTTTGTGCGGTGCAAGGTGGCCTGAACACTTAAGCATTAATGCTCGCATAAGCTGTAACTGTAAACCACGCTGAATCGCGACAGTACCCGTACGGTCCTTCGGTACTTCGCCGACCTAGCATGGTTCCGGCCAGCAGGGGTCTGTTTGCTGTCCCGAGCTTTGCTCGTGCTTGGAAGAGTGTTTTGTTGCTGATGGGCTTCACTTTGTCATAGTTGTGTAACATTTTACATTTTTAAGGGTACTTAAACCCAATAAGGAATATAAATTTACATTTTTAATACTACCCCAACCATGAACTAGTTCAAGGGCTCGGATTTCGCTGGACTTGATTGGGGTCTGGCTTGTGTTCATTGCCGAGCTTGTACGAGCTTAGGACGCCATACTATACTTGGAGGTTCATGGGTAGTTATAAGTGGGCTTATAAGTCTCCTAATATGGGTTATAAGTATACTTACCCTACTTATAACCCTATTTATAACTACCCATGAACCTCCAAGTACACTCTCTTAGGAGGCTGCATACGTTCATTCTGTCAGTCTTATGACTCCTGTTGAAACGTGTGCCTATGATCCAAGTGAGCAGTGCTCATAATATAGGGGCCTTAACAATTAGAATAGGGTTTTGGGGCCCAGTATACTATAACTATAACAAAGAACCCCCCAAAAAACTATTCTTATTATTACCTAAACCCCCCCAACTACCCTCTATTATCCAAATGACCATAAGGGCTCCATTAAAGGGCCATCGGGGGTTCCTGGTAAGGCTCCTACATTGATCCACCCTAAACCCTAAACCCTAAACCCTAAACCCTAAACCCTAAAGCCCTAAACCCTAAACCCTAAACCCTAAAGCCCTAAACCCTAAACCGATCCAAGTGAGCAGGGCTCATAGAATCCTGAAGCTCCCACCAAACGGGCCAAAGCATGGAAAACCCTTGAGTTTGGGGGTTTAGGGTTTAGTGGTTTGGGGTTTAGGGTTTGGGGTTTAGGGGTTTAGGGCTCAGGGTTTAGGGTTCAGGGTTTAGGGGATTTGGGGTTTAGGGTTTGGGGTTCAGGGTTTAGGGCCATGATGGTGTGAGACGCTTATGGTGTTAGCAGGGAGCCCTGAGCACAAACCTCGGCGAGCACATCCTACCATGTGCTTGTAACAACCAGCGAAGCGTCCTGTCTCTTGCCGCCCTCTTGGAAGTTCATGGGTAGTTATAACTGGGGTAGTAAGTGGGGTAACTATACTTATTTATAACCCATATTAGGGGACTTATAACCCCACTTATGACTACCCATGAACCTCCAAGCTAGCAAAATCCCAAGCACGAAGCCCTAAAGCCTAAACCCCGAATCCCAAACCTTTAAGCCCCGCGCGAAGTAGTCGCGGTTTGTCGACGAGAAATAAGGTCCGTTAAAACACAAAAGCCTGTCTCAGAGGTTAGCCTGAGCATTTAGCCGAACTTAAAATATTTATTATAGAAACCTCAATAATTATGAGTGTTATGCCCAGGGTTCCGTTGTTTTAGTAATACCATAAAGGAGCCAAAACACCATTCTAATCCTAAACCATAAACCCTAAACCCCTAAACCCTAAACCCCAATCCCTTAAACCCTAAACCCCTAAACCCCTTACCCTAAACCCCTATACCCTAAACCCCTAAACCCTAAACCCCTGCACTATCTGAAGCCTCCACCCTAAACCCTAAACCCCTGCACTATCTGAAGCCTCCACCCTAAACCCTAAACCCCAAACCCCTGCACGATATGAAGCCTCCAAGATGCAGCGAGGCAATCACCACTCAGAGCACCACTGGCGAGACGCATGTCCAAGATAAGGTCAGCTCCTTCGGCTGCGTGGACTGCGTTTGGGGTGTTTTGGGTTTAGGGTTTAGGGTGTAGGGTTTTTTGGTTAAGATTTTGGGGTTTAGGGTTTTTGGTTTAGCGTTTTTGGGGTGTACCTGGAGTCTCCATTGTAGTTCCTTTTTGGGGATTACGTTATAGGATCCTACTTGTAAAGTTGGCTAAACCAAAAAAAGGAACTGCGAAGGAGACTATACCCTAAACCCTATAAACCAGGGTTTAAGCTTTCTCTATAGGGCTTACTATAGGGTTTCGGGTTAAGTTTTTTTTCCCGGCTGCTAGGACGGTGCTTTTTTTGGGCGCAGGGCTTAAGGCTTCTCTTTTGGGTTGGGGTTTAGGGTTTTTCGGGCTTAGGGTTTTGGATTTGAGGCTGGCGTTGGGGTTTAGGGTTTTTTTTTATGTCCGCTGTCCTGCTGAGCG